CATACTACACTATGGCGTTTTTTCATAATTTTGGACAACATTCGGTCATGATTTCTGACGACATACTATACTATGATTTTATTTCAGGATTTTGGACAACATATTATACTATGATTTTATTTCATGATTTTGGACGACATACTATACTATGACGTTTTTTCATGATTTTGGACGACATACTCTATAATGATGTTTATTCATGATTTTGCATGACATACTATACTATGATATTTTTTTCATGATTTTGGACGACATACTTTACTATGACCTTCGTTCATGATTTTGGACGACACAATATACTATGACGTTTTTTCGTGATTTTTGACGACATACTATACTATGACCTTTTTTCCATGATTTTGGACAACATACTATACTATGACGTTTTTTCATAATTTGGGCGACATGCTATACTATGACCTTCGTTCATGATTTTGGACGGCACACTATATTGACATTTAGTCATGATTTTGGATGACATAATATACTATGACCTTTTTTCCGTGATTTTAGATGATATACTATACTATGACCTTTCTTTTCATGACTTTGGACGACATACTATATTATGGCATTTTTTCATAATTTGGACAACAAACTATACTATGACCTTCGGTCACGATTTCTGACGACATACTATACTATGAAGTTTTTTCATAAATTTGGACCACATACTATACCATGACATTTTTTCATGATTTTGGACAACATACTATACTATGACATTTTTTTTAATAATTTTGGACGACATACTACATTATGATGTTTTTTTCATAATTTTGGACAACATACTATACTGTCTTGTTTTTTCATAGTTTTGGACGACATACTTAACTATGATGTTCTTTCATGATTTTGGATGACATACTATACTGTGACGTTTTTATCATGATTTTTGACGACATACTTTACTATGACCTTCGTTCATGATTTTGGATGACACACTATACTATGATGTTCTTTCATGATTTTGGATGACATACTATACTGTGACGTTTTTATCATGATTTCTGACGACATACTTTACTATGACCTTCGTTCATGATTTTGGATGACACACTATACTATGATGTTCTTTCATGATTTTGGATGACATACTATACTGTGACGTTTTTATCATGATTTCTGACGACATACTTTACTATGACCTTCGTTCATGATTTTGGATGACACACTATACTATGATGTTCTTTCATGATTTTGGATGACATACTATACTGTGACGTTTTTATCATGATTTCTGACGACATACTTTACTATGACCTTCGTTCATGATTTTGGACGACACACTATACTATGATGTTCTTTCATGATTTTGGATGACATGCTATACTGTGACGTTTTTATTATGATTTCTGACGACATACTTTACTATGACCTTCGTTCATGATTTTGGACGACACACTATACTATGATGTTCTTTCATGATTTTGGATGACATACTATACTGTGACGTTTTTATCATGATTTCTGACGACATACTATACTATGACCTTCATTCATGATTTCTGACGACATACTATACCATGACCTTTGTTGATGATTTTGGATGACATATTATACTATGACCTTTTTTCCCCTTGATTTTGGACGACATACTATACTATGACCTTTTTTCATGATTTTGGACAACATACTATACTATGAAGTTTTTTTCATAATTTTGGACGACATACTATACTATGAAGTTTTTCATGATTTTGGACTACATACTATACATTACATTTTTTCATGATTTTGGACAACATACTGTACTATGGCATTTTTTCATAAATTTGGATGACATACCATACTATGATTTTATGTCATGATTTTGGACGACATACTATACTATGACATTTTTTTATAATTTTGGACGATATACCATGACCTTTTTTTTTTCATGATTTTGGACAACATACTATACTATGACCTTTTTTTCCCCTTGATTTTGGACGACATACTGTACTATGACATTTTTTCATAAATTTGGATGATATACCATGACCTTTTTTCATGATTTTGGACGACATACTGTACTATGAAGTTTTTAATGATTTTGGACAACATACTATGCTATGCCATTTTTTTTTATAATTTTGGACGACATACTACATTATGATGTTTTTTTCATAATTTTGGACAACATACTATACTGTCTTGTTTTTTCATAGTTTTGGACGACATACTTTACTATGACCTTTTTTTCATGATTTTGGACGACACACTATACTATGATGTTCTTTCATGATTTTGGATGACATACCATACTGTGACGCTTTTATTATGATTTCTGACGACATACTATACTATGACCTTCATTCATGATTTCTGATGACATACTATACTATGACCTTTTTCTCATGATTTTGGACGACATACTATACCATGACCTTTGTTCATGATTTTGGACGACATATACTTTGACATTTTTTCATGATTTTGGACGACATACTATACTATGACCTTCATTCATGATTTCTGACAACATACTATACTATGACCTTTTTCTCATGATTTTGGACGACATACTATACCATGACCTTTGTTCATGATTTTGGACGACATATACTTTGACATTTTTTCATGATTTTGGACGACATACTATACTATGACCTTCGTTCATGATTTCTGACAACATACTATACTATGACCTTTTTTTCATGATTTTGGACGACATACTATACTATAACCTTTTTTTTCCCCTTGATTTTGGATGACATACTATACTATGACCTTTTTTCATGATTTTGGACAACATACTATACTATGAAGTTTTTCATGATTTTGGACGACATACTGTACTATGGCATTTTTTCATAAATTTGGATGACTTACCATATTATGATTTTATGTCATGATTTTGGACATTTTTTTTATAATTTTGGACGATATACCATGACCTTTTTTTTCATGATTTTGGACGACATACTATACTATGACCTTTTTTTCCCCTTGATTTTGGATGACATACTGTACTATGACATTTTTTCATAAATTTGGATGACATATACTATGACTTTTTTTCATGATTTTGGACAACATACTATGACGTTTTTTCATGATTTTGGATGACATACTATACTATGACGTTTTTTTCATAATTTTGGACGACATGCTATACTTTGACATTTAATCATGATTTTGGATGACATACTATACAATGACCTTTTTTCATGATTTTGGATGACATACTATAGTATGACTTTTTTTCATGATTTGGACGACATACTATACTATGACCTTTTTTTCATGATTTTGGACAACACACTATACTGTGAAGTTTTTTCATAATTTTGGACGACATACTTTACTATGACCTTAGTTCATGATTTTGGACGACACACTATACTATGATGTTCTTTCATGATTTTGGATGACATGCTATACTATGATGTTTTTTCACAATGTATGACGACATACTATACTATGACGTTTTTCCATAATTTTGGACGACTTGCTATACTTTGACATTTAATCATGATTTTGGACGACATACTATACTATACTATGACTTTTTTTCATGATTTTGGACGACATACTATACTATGACATTTTTTTTTATAATTTTGGACGATATACTACATTATGATGTTTTTTTTCATAATTTTGGACAACATACTATACAGTGTTGTTTTTTCATAGTTTTGGACGACATACTTTACTGTGACCTTCGTTCATGATTTTGGACGACATACTGTACTATGACATTTTTTCATAAATTTGGATGACATACCATACTATGATTTTATTTCTTGATTTTGGACGACATACTATACTATGGCTTTCGTTCATGATTATGACTTTTTTTTTATAATTTTGGACGATATACTACATTATGATGTTTTTTTTCATAATTTTGGACGACATACTATACTATGAAGTTTTTTCATGATTTTGGACGACATACTATACTATGACATTTTTTCATAAATTTGGATGACATACCTTACTATGATTTTATTTCATGATTTTGGACGACATATTACATTATAATGTTTTTTTCATTATTTTGGACAACATACTATATACTGTGTTGTTTTTTCATAATTTTTGACGACCTACTATACTATGACGTTTTTTCATAAATTTGGACGACATACTTTACTATGACATTTTTTCATAAATTTGGATGACATACCATACTATGATTTTATTTCATGATTTTGGACGACATACTATACTATGACATTTTTTTTTTTATAATTTTGGACGATATACTACATTATGATGTTTTTTTTTCATGATTTTGGACGACATCCTATACTATGGCGTTTTTTCATAATTTTGGACGACATACTATACTATGACGTTTTTAATGGCATTTTCATGGGATAGTAACAAATGAATGTTTTCATGACATTTTAAGAAATAATATACTGTGGCTCAATATGTTTTACATCTCATGGCATCATGTATAATGGCTTTTTTTTTCACATTTTTTATCACATACAATGTTATGGCAACTTTTAAATGGCACTGAAAACAAAGCAATTTTGAGTCTTACTCCACTATGGAGCTTGTACTGTGGATGTGAGTGTCATCCACTGAGGTCTACTCAATAGTCCTTGAAAGCTGTTTTGGAAAAATATATGATAGCATTAATCATTGTAAAAAACAGATTTGTGGAATGCACAATTGTATGCTTTAATGGATTACTGCGTTCAACTGACACTTCCTTTCGTTATTATGACCTGTGATTGTGTGGAACTCCTCTCAGTTTGTGTCATTTTTCATAGCAGCTCTTTTCATAGTTTTACTCATGTTACTTTATCTTATTTTTACCATTGAAATTTCTCACCTATGTTTCCAGTGTCACCAGAGCAGTCAAAATATGTCCTTAAAGTACCTGTCCTGGAAGTTTTCATTCATTTTGTATTTTTATGTCTATACAAAGAAACTTACCGTTACTCACCCTGGGAGACATCTTCTTGATTCCTTGTACTGAAACCTTCTCTAATGTTTGTTAAAAAAACTCCCCTCTGAAATATTTAATATGTATGTCTTCTCTTTTTGTCCAGTGTCTTCCTCAGAGTGTGCTGGCTTTGGCTGGAGTCCCCTGTGAGCTGTGAAAAGGATGATCCGTTTAATCCTCCAAAGGTCTTTTCTGCTGTTTGGTAAGGCACATTTGGAGTTTGTGATACTTTGTTGAAAAAAAACCCATAGTTAACTCAACTGAACTGAGCCATCTTTTCTGCTCTGTTGAACTATGTTAGGCTCAAAACCAGAACCAGGCCTTTTAATGTTGCTTCCCTCCAGGAAAATAGAATTACATGAATCAGTCTTGGTATGTGACCTGATTACGATGGTGTCATAATACAGTTTTGGTGTAGTTTTTTTTTTTTTTTTTTTTCTCAAAAGGTTCACAGAGCAGAATTATGGATATAAATAACCCTAAAAAAAGATAACCAGATAACTTTTTTTTTTAGAGATGTGCAAAATTGGTTGAGATGTCCATTTATGTTAAAGGTGCAAAAACAGCCTTTTACCGCTGTATATTTGGCTTTATTTTATGAAAATGATTGAGGAAAGACAAATCATCATACTGTAACTATTTAGGTGATACTACTTGAAATGATTTAATAGAAATGATTAGCTTTAAATGGACATCTCAGCAGTTTGGTAGAGGCTCAGGGTTAAAAACAACAACAACAAAATAAAATCAGTGCTTTTTAACCTTTACTCACTAGTGCAGCTAAGGAATAACCTTGATTAAGTGCTGATTGAGGAGCCCCATGTATATTTTCCTCTGTTTTTCTAAGAACTTGGAGCCAGAAATAATCTAGTCATACACCCACCTGATCACCTGGGAAAGAAAAAGAAACTTTCACTTCTAGTCACTTTCCTTTGTGACAGAACACATACAGTCATTAAAAGTAAAACCAGAATGAGATCATTTGATTTTTCCTCTGATGACCTTGAACACCAAGACCATCTCAATTTGCAGGGGACGCTTCTTTTCATGTATTTAATTTATTCTTAAAATATTTCATGATAAAAAATGTATGTAAATGACTCTAATACTTTTGCAATGCTTCCTCGGCTTTCTCTTTCTCTCTCCATGTTGTACTCGTCGCCAGCAGAGAGAGGCCAGATTTGTGCGAGAACAAACACAAGCACAAAAATAAATTAAGAGATCAAAACCCATAGAGAGGAAATGAGTCAGTATTCCACACTGTGTACAATACAATATCATAGCAAATTAGCAGATTTCAATGGCTTCCACTGACTACCATAGATTTACAATGTTCAGTTGGCTGCAGATCAGTCCTCAATAAATTGTCACTTTCCTTATTTTTTCCATTAATGGTTCTGATAGACAGTGACTTGTAGATGACCATGAAAAGAAAGCGGCTACTGAGGTGTGAACAGAAAACCTGGGACTACGAGCCAGCAGTAATGAGAACAACAGCATTTGTTCACATCCTACTAAACTGCCATTGTGACCACATTTTAAGTCCAATAAGCTTCTCTACAAAGGTACAACATATAAAACTGTTAAATATATAACTTTTTAGGGCCTTTCAAAATACATTTAATGACATTTCTTTACTCCTTCTTGTCAGACTCAATAGCATTTATACTCTCTGTAGATATTCATCATCTCTTTGATATGATTCGCTCTCCTGATCCGTGACCAACTCGCCGATGCTTCCTGCAAACTTTCCAAACCGTAGCTACTGAAAAATGTAAATCAGAATTTTTTTTCTTTTTCTTTTTTGATACACAGTTATACGTATGTAGTACCTATATCTCCAGTTCCAAAATACAGTGGTGGGCTTAGTCTGAGAAAAAAATGTCTGGAAAGTTTAAAAGTACTCCTTTGATTGTGTACGGTACATGTGCCACCGTTCAGTTTGCGTCGGTCCACTTGTGCACCGAGTCTCTGTGGGGAGGGGGCAGTCGTAGGTTGGTGGTGACACAAACAGTTAGTTCACAAAGTCACCCTGTGTCTTTGCCACATGGTCCACTCTGTCATAATGATCGTATTTGTTGTTTTGCTCTTTGGTCTATAAAAATATGGGAGGTTTACTCCAGCAGAAGGCCTATTCACAGCAGAGAGCGCTCAGTTCGGTTTTTACGGCCTCGCAAGGTGGTCCGAGAAGCAACAGGGTCCGGTCTGTAATGATCCTTTCTTTGCTCTGGAACTCCTGCTCTAGAGGCTGGGAGAGAGATGTGAGGAAATCCCTTATTCAAACCAGTTAGCAGTTTCAAACACAGTACCTCCAGTCAGGCAAAAACCATTCGTGGGATTTCAAGGTGTCCGATCCTCCATGGTACGAGCAGGCGCTGCTAATTTCACAGAGCAGGCAGATAGAGTGGAGAGGAGGTGGATGCAACATTTTGACCCAACGACAGATAGCAGGAGGGAGCAGTCACAAACCCGGAGGGGCTGGTCACAGGAAATGGAAAGTGTTTTACAGCGAGTAGTTTGTCCAGTGTCCAGGGGAGCGCTTGCTCCCTCAAATAGTCACTCCCCGGTTTTTCCGTCTCTGGCTGTGTTATGAGACCTGTGAATCAACAAGAGGAGAGCAAATATCAGGTGATTGTTTTAGCGCACAGTCGTTGTCACAGTACTCTCAGCTCCTGAGAAGTTAAATTACTTCCATAGTGTATTCAAACAAAGAGCTTTTTTGTAATTCAAAAATTCTTTGTGCTGCCTTTGAACACTTTTTGAAATACAAATGAAACTAAGATCATGTCCTGTAGTCTTAGAGCTACCACAGTTGCTGCAGCACAGTCGATCTTTCCAATTCAGAAATTTGACATTTACCTTAGTCTTTGGAATTGACGTTTGCATTTCCAGAATAAAAACACCTGCTCTGTCTTAATCTAAAGTGTCAATCCAGTCTTTATGCTAAATTAAGCTAAGTCGCTGAGTGTAGCATGCTTATATTAAGCATACAGACATGAGAATAGTATCAATTGTGCCATTGAACTCGACAACAAAGTGCATAAGCATATTTCCCAAAATGTCGAACAATTGCAATAGAGGTTAATCTTGCAGTTTATGTTTCTGCTCCCTTGCATGGATATTCTGTCCAAGAATATTTGACATTTTAGGAAATACACTTAGTTGTTCTTTTGTCAAAAGTTAGATGACAGATTGATGCCACTCTTATGTTTGTATGTTACATGTGAAGTTAGAGTTGGTATAGTGTGCCCAAAAACAGTTATTAAACTATGCTTTATGCTGCTATATGCAATATGTATGTGATAATTTTTTTTTTTTTACTATTGTATTCTACTATGTCTTAATTTTTTATTACCTTGTCTTCATACCTGTGTATTTACGGTATTGTATTGCTGGTTTTTTTTGTAAGTTCTGTGTTTTGAGCTCTGTTTGCTACAGGGCATCCTTTAAAAAGAGAGCCCACTCTCAATGGACCTACCCTGTTAAAATAAAGGTTAAATAAATAAAATAAATAAAAATGTACATGAAAAAAAGTCATAGTATAGTATGCAGTCAAAATGTGCATGAAAAAGGTCATGTTATAAAAATACATTTTTAAAAATTCAATGGTATAGTATGCCATCAAATGTATATAAAATGGCATAGTATAGTAAACAAAAAAAATGTACATTAAAAATATCATAGTGTGTGTATATATATATATAATGCCAAAGTACAGTATAGCATAAAGTATAAAAAGTATATTAAAATGTCATTGTAAATTATGCCATAAAAATGTATTTAAAAATCCCATAGTATAGTAATGCTATTAAATGTATATAAAATGTCATAATATACAATAAAATGTATATAAAATATCATCTTGTCTGCCATGAAAATCTATATTTAAACGATGCCATAAAAAGATTTATTGAAACGTCATAAAGACATGTGCCATTAAAGTATTGTAAAGTACAATATTAAAATGTTATTTGAGAGTCAAGGTATACTTTGCCATCAAAATGTCCTAACAAAGTCAAAAGTTAGTATAGTCAGCTTTGGCCAGTGTAAAAACTTGACACAGGTAAACAGCCAACTGAAGGTAACAACATCTGCCCACCAATACCTAAAGCTCACAGGTTGTATCTTCTTTAGCATGCAGCATGCAGCCCTTAACTGTCTTTATGCTAAGCTAACAGGCTGCTGGCTGTAGCTCCATGCAGACAGATATTATAATATTATAATAGTATCAATCTTTTCATCTAATTCTTGGTAAGAAAGCAAATAAGCATCATAAAACAAAATGTTTATTCTTTGGAAAAAAAATAAATAAATTGAGGAGAGAACCATTTCACACTCTGAGTCGCTATACGCCTTTTGTATACCCATTGCTCCATACACAATGAAGGTGTGTATGGAGCAATGGGTATACACACAATGAAGGTGTTAATTACAACACTCTGGTAGAATTGTATAAATAAAAACTCGACAGCTTCCTCTCTGTCAAATCAAGTGTTTTGCCAGTCAAATATTTAGAATTCTTCAGCGGGTGTAACCCAACAACAAAGCGAGTCTTACAGTGCGGATACTGAGAAACAATAAATCTACCAACAGAAAGACAAATCTGGAAGCCTCACCATCTGGCTCCCGCCAGTCACACAGCCAACATGATAGAGGCGCCGATGCCTTCCAAGACTGCTGAAGTTTAATTCATAATAATGAACTCTTGATGATTTTACAGGGTGCAAATTGCCATGAAAGGGGCAGGTGTTGGGATGGAGTACTAGCATGTATCACAGATGACAGTGTCTGATGCTGTGGGAATAATAAACATCTCAGTGAGCTCGGGGCTTAATAGAGATAATGTCATGGCTTTGTTGGTGCTGGGCATGAAATGACCCAGAGGTATAACAGCTTAAAGCAGGGGCATGACTGTGCTAAGTGCTCGGCTGTGACCGCTGCCCAAACAGGTGTTTAATCCCAGTGTAACACACCTTCCTATCTTAACACCTCCTAGTGGGCACACTGAGATTACAGTGATGCTGAATGGTCAAGTAGCAACAGATAAAATGGAAGCAGGACACAATCACTGCATAGAAACGTTGTTGTAGAAATCTTAAAAGGAACTTGATGCAAATTAATTTAAATAGATGCCAAGGCATAGGCGGTCTTGTTTTTATGGAATTCGGTGTCTACCATGGTGATTTTCTTATATTCTCTCTATGTTCCTCTCCCTTTTTCTCACAACCACACTGTGGCAAATGGTTCCTCATAAATCTCACACACAAATCTCATCTCAGGGAAATGCAAGCCTTCTATTAAAAAGAGGAAAGAATGTCAGATGAATATGAGATGAATTTGCCCTATGAATAAAATTCACAGACCCTAGGTGATTATTACCTCAGGTTTATCAGGAAACGACCGTATTACTCTATTTTATATCTTATAAGAGCAAGAAATATTTTACATTCTTGTGCCAGGGAATGCAGAGACGAGGGGAATGTGATGCAGTGCCTGTCTGGCTATAGAACACATGGACAAACTGTGAGTACAGTGGGGTCTGGCTATTCAAACAAGACCAGAGACAAAATTTGGCTTTTTCGAGTGAGACTAAAACTGCTGTCAGGTGTCATAGTAACAGAAGAGGACAGAATCCATCTGTGGTAATGTCCAATTTGTGCAGACTTCTCTTGTTATGAAGCTAGCAGGCAATCCACTCAATACATATTGATATGCGCCCAGCAGCATTCAATCGAGGACAAGTAAAACATTAAACATTTGATTTCAGGGGCGTAATTCAGAGCTTCCTGTCTCCGGGCAAAGCTGCAAATGCTTTGATGTATGAATGAGAATGCGTTCTTGCTGGCTTTATATGCAGTTTGCATGCGCGTGAAGGTGCATGCTGGCACATCTGTCGGAGCTAAAGGTAATTATACACAATACATATGGAGCTGCTCTCCAGCTGGGAGTTAAAGCAAATGCACCCAAACACATGGCCCCGGCTTGACATTTCCTCTCTGCGTGAACTCTCGCTGACTCCCTGCAAAATGTCACAGCGCTGGGACCCACAGCGAACGTGTGAATGGGCACGCATGAGGGGAAATTGATCTGTTTGTCTCTCCTAACTCTTTATTGGGATGCTGATGGATGTGAATAATGCAGAATCTCAGGAGTGTGTTGATTAATTGATGTATGATTGATTGGATGGATGACTATGTACACTGGCTGCAAGCTGCGTGTGAGCGTAGTCATGTTCCAAGGGTTCTATGCTCCCAGGGTCCTATGTCCCTCAGCTCAATATCCTCTTGATATGACGCATTAAAGAGAACTTTCAAGGGTTTTTTGTTCTCAGCAATGTTTCTCTCAAGGTCAAATGTTCAGTGTATGTTTCCATGGGTCCATATATTAAAATAACCCACATACAGCTCGGAGCCTACTGATGTTATTCTCCCTGAAACCTTCATCCTCAAATTTGTGAGCAAGACAGTTTTCTTCACTTTAGACATTGCTAATTCCAAAGTGGCTAAATTGATTTGTAGCACCTGAACTATATCTGGAATGTCCTTTTGATCTTTTGCAATCTTAACCGCAAAGCTAGCCTTGACCAGTCTCTTAAAATGTTAGTGTATAACAGGAGCATTGAACCCTGGGAACAAAGGAACATTGGACCCTGGTTACATGGGACCCTGGGACCCTTGGAACAATGGACCCTGGGACAAATTACCCTGGTTACATAGGATACCTCAGCTTGGCCACACACTGATGAGGGCTAGGTTGTGCCAGAACCTAGAATAGAATAAAAACTTGTCTGCTCGTTGGTCATTCTGAAGTGCCTGCTTCTGCATCAGCTACTTGTTTCTAACACTTGTTCCTGCCCTTGCTGTGTAATGTTAAGCCTCACGCAAGCGAGCACGCTTCCTTCTGGATTGGAGTGCGCAAGCAGCACAATGGCCCGCTGGATGAATATTCATTAGATAACTTGTAGGTTAGGAATGATCCACAGGTTAATATGGGATTGGAAATCGCTCATTACATGCTGTGAAGTCGGATAATGCCTGAAGCAGATGCCGAGATCAAAATACACGAACATGTATGCATGGGCCTCCAGACACTCGGTCCCATTCCACATTAAGAGTGAGTTCAAAGCTATCTGGGGTGTTATGTCATTATCAACCCTTTCATACTGCATTTCTTCAGAACATCAAAGCAAACACAGTTCACTATCTGCATTCTACAATATGATCAGAACTATAATGCTCAAGAGGGAATATTAGAACAGATTTAACATCCCACTCTGACTAGAAGGGGATAGCTAAATGTCATTGATTTGTTTTACATACAAACAGCTTGAATGTTCCTCCATGTCCCTGAAATACACTGTCATGTTTAGATTATATCTGTTTATGCAATGTAAGCTACTTTACTGCATGCAACTGCTTTAGATTGGATGATTGCAGGAGATATGGTATTGTTTCCCTTTCTAGAGCACATTATGGGATCAAATGTTGAAATCCAATCTTAGATCGCCTTCTCCTTTAGTAAATAGACAATAATCTTCTATAGGATGCACTGTGAGAGGATCTGAGTTCACTGCATGCATCCATCCTGGGTCTATTTATAGTTTCAAATCTACTGAAGACTTGCTGTCTGGCCTGAAAAGCAGCCGGATCAGGTTTTTTTTTTTTTTTTTCTTTTCTCGAAAGCGAATCATAACATGAGCCATAAATGCTGACAACACTGACCGACAGAAGAGCCTGGTTTTTAGAAACTCTATGAGGCCGGGCATTTTTATGACTTTGGCCTCATCCCTTTTATTGCACTGTGAGCTAAATTTACTACATGGCCACTCTCTGTTTCCCAATCACATGCATTAATATCTGTCTGGCGCCCTGTTTTATTCCAGCGCACAGACGCCATGTGACACAATACTTTAAAGACAATATACAAGGCATGCCAATAAAGCAGAGCAAAAACAAGCCACAAAATAAACCGATGGGTTTTACTGGTATTGCTGCACACATGGATTTTTCTGTGGTTAAACACACACTGGGGAACCAGTGAGCTTATGGAAAAATGAGTAAGCCAAATAAAAGCATCAAACAAGCAGACGGTTGTTTAAATTGTATCTGGATTTATGTGTGTGCTTACGTGTGTCCACACTTCCTGTTGTTTGCATGTTCTGCTAAAGCTGGAGGATTCTGCTCTAATAAAACTATAATATTGGTTATAATGATTTTCATCGGATTCTGAAAAAATAAAAACTACCAGAGGGACGAAACTCAATTACCCACTTTATCAACCCCCACACGTAAGGAAAATCGATTTTGGACAAATTGTTTATGTGCAGTGAAAGTGATGAGATGACCATCAGGAGATATATA